CACAAAGTTTAGCGTTTAGACACAATTTCTAGTTTTTAATGTCACATGTTAAAATAGCTATCTATCTAGCTAGCTAGCTAGATAAATAGATAGATTGACAAGCAAGACTTTGGTGGGTTCCACTACATGCTTTTGATAGTGGCAATCAAAAGCAATTGAGCAAAGTGCACTGTGTACCAATCATGTACGGGAATCATCTATATTCATATCACAGACAACCACAGTGCAATTTCAAATCAGACAGTTTGGAATCTTTGTCACACCACCAGAATTCTAAATCGGCCACCTCCGCTGCAGGTGAGAAGAAGGATGCATGCGTGTGTCTCCTCTGTTTATATCCCAGATCACGCAACACTTCCGTGACCTGTCAATCAATCTCCAATGTCACGGACACAAGTAAACAAAGCAACACCAATGTGAGGAAGAAGATGAACCTCTGGTGGAACAAATGGCCTGCTTCCTAACAATACACATTGTGAAATATCCTCTAATTAAATACATAGTCTGAGATTTCTAATCAGCTATATTTTGCATTTTATCTCATCAGACTACCATAATTAAAATGGAGATTAATGATTATCTCAGCAGTAGCATTGCGAAAGTACTATGTGCATTTCTTTGAGATCATATATATATATATATGAGTGTCGCATTAAAAATGTTGGGAACACTAAATCTAAATTATAACTGAGTGCATTTTTCAAATTTTACAGGTCAAAGTAAGAGTAAGAATCTTTTTAACAACACTTAAGAACATTCTTACAACTTTGGCTTTGTCATTTTCATATTTTGGACTTTATCCTGTGAATATTGAGTAATATTTTCTTTTCGGAGCTGTTGAGCAACAAACTTAGTTATGCGTCTTGGACTAAGGTGGTGTCTAGTGGGTATAAATTCCCCCAAAACACATCCAAGTTTACATTTCTGTCCATGCAAAAATTTAAAAGAAGCCCGTGAACTCAAGGCAGCATATTATCTGAACTGGAAATTTGAGGAGCCTCGCAAAAGCAAGTTTCAACTCTCAAAGTGTTGATCTATCAGCACAAGAATGAAAATAGGCAAAAGAGATGAGGTCCAAGGAAATGACGGTAAGTAGGGGTAAATATTAGAAACTATAACTACAATGACAAATATATGTACTGTTGTAGCGTCAACCAAGGCTGGGCATTATACATTGTTGATTACATTGTGTCAAAAGTGGTAAGTGATAATGTTTTGGTGGGTTGGTGTGCAGTCACATTTTAAAAATATTAGAATACAGTCAATAAATATTTTATTTTTTAATCGCCAATGCACAGGTACATTAGCATTGCTAATAGGGTAAAGTGCACCGCTTAAAAGATTTCAACCTCTGCCATGGCACTATTTTTCAACAAAATGCATGAGTGTTTTTTTTAATGTGACATCTCTGTCGGGAGAATGGAGCAGAGAAAACAACAACTGACTGATCGTGTTTGCTTTTTTTTTATTTTTCGTGTGTGTAGAATTGTACAGCGACAAGTGGAGCAGTGACCTAGGTACAAGAAATCAATCAGTTGCACACTTAGGCAATTCCACCTTGTCGCCAGATCAATTTAGGCTGTCAAGTAATCAGTTGCATCCAGCCTATGCCAATCTTCCACCATCCCTTCAGAACCCTAGCAGGCCACAATGAATACCTTGTGATGCCTTTTACGTTAAGCAACGCTCCCGCTAGACACAAAAAAGCCTTGTTAGTGATGTACTCGACATGAGTGACAAGTTGGTTTTTGTCTACCTTGATGATATTCTGATTTTCTTCCAGTCCTCCGGCAAACACGAACAGCACGTGCGGCTGGTGCCCCGGAGGCTCTTGGAGAACAAAACTCGCTGTGAAAGCTGCAAAATTTGAGTTTCACATCTCCGAAACCCACACTCCTCAGTTACATCACCACAAAGGTGGGCGCGGTGAAAGAATTCAGCCAAGATAACTATTGTCTCTGAGAGGCCAAGACATGTCGACCACACGCTGTCGCAGTTTTATTGGAGCTTCATCAAGAATTACAGACACGCTGCTCTCACCTCCACACCACCAGTCCATTCTACCAGTCGGATGATGCAGACTCCGCCTTCAGTGACCTCAATTGATTTTCTTCAGCTCTTGCTGCAATGGCAGCACATAGGATGGTAAAATGCACACATGAGCTGCTTCTTCTTCTTCTTCAAAATGCAATGTGGATGTTTCTGTCAATTCAACAAAATTCAGTCAATTAAAAAAAAAAAAAGTATTCCCATTGCTGACTTGATCACTCCACACAGTTCTGTGCAGCCAAGATGACTTGTAAAAGTTAATATCTATCATCAGACATTTTAACAGTCATGTTGTAAATGTGTCCCTCGGTGCATTAAATCATTTTGAGGTAATACCAAACTACTCCTTTTATGTTAACATTTTTGTGAGAATTTATTTTAGCGACTTATTATGCCACTGTTTTAAGATTTATGCATTACATTCCACCTCACAAAATATCTTGGTGTTGACATCTTTTGACCTCTGCAGACACTATTCCCTTTTCCAGCTGAATTTATACATCTACCGGTTAATTACACCTCATTAGGAAACATTGCATCCAATGAGATTCTATAATATTTTTGTACAGTCAGGAGAGTATTAATCCAGCAAAATGTTTATTACTGGCGTTGTAGTCCATGTTGGTCACCACAGCCGTTCCCCTAAATTGGGTAACCAACAGTTACAGTATCTACCGCAGTAAGCTACAGTACAACCATTAAAAAAACCAAACATTTAGGACGGTGCAGGTGCACCTAATATTGTGGCTTGGGACTGTAGTATTTTAAAACCAAACATTCGGCTGAGCTCACAAGGTTGGCTAGTTTGCTCTTCCCTGAGGAGATGTGCAGTTCACATTAAGGAACATGGCGCATTTTATCTTCACTCACGTTCTTGTCCGGCCCGGAGGTCGGCAAATGAAGTCCTCGTAATGGTGGCTCTCCTCATCCCAGCAGGGAAAACAGTTGCCTTCATTTGCGCGGGGCTGAACAGGGTTGATGAGAAGCCTGCGCATTCTCTCTCCCCCTGAAATGATCAAGGCTCAGCAGCTGCCACACAATTTTAACACAGTCACAATGGGAAACAAGGCAAGCGGGAGATGCATTGTGTTTCATTTCATCAAACACAAGACTATTACAGTATTATCACCTAAACGCAATAAAACAAACAAATTTTACTCTTGGAAATATGAAGCTGGGATCATTAGCCCTCAATTAAGAAGACTGTTACACATGCTAAAGCGTAGATCAATCATTTACGACATTATCTAATGAAGGAATAGAAGATGGCCTTTTGATTTTGACAGCTCGTTTATCGTCTAAATCGTAGTCTCGACTAAAGTTAAAGTTGTTTCAGTAAATTTACAAATGGTGGACTGGTGATTAGCACGTCTGCCTCACAGTCAAGCCGTTTTGCGTTCACATCTCGGCTCAGGTCTTTCTGTGTGGAGTTTGCAGAGCCTTCCATTGTTTGTGTGGGTTTTCGCTCGTGATGGGAAAATGAAGCTTCAAATGTGCTTCATAAACCAGTTGTATTTTTTTTTTAATTGTCTAGCTGGCACTGTTGGTTTTAAATAAGGGGTTTAAGAAACAGCAAGTCAGTGTGTTTTCAAGCCAATGTTGAACACAAAGTGCCTTGTAGACGAGTCAAAAAATACAACTGTTTCATGAAGCAAATTTGAAGCTGCATTTTCCTATCACGAGTTTTCTCCCACTTCCCCCCACATTCCAAAACCATGCTTTTTAGGCGAACACAAGATGCAAAAAAAAAAAACCACAAACCCCCATTTCTAACTGCGCCAGTCTACCAAAATACCAAATTAAGAAAATTATACCCATGCGCAGTTAGACTGAGCCTTGTGCAATCAGTCATTGTCAATACTGTATGATTTGGATCTCATGGCAGCGGACAAGAAGCAAGTTTCTTTTCCAATGGCTCTTCTCTGACTAATTTCATCGGTTTAGTGGAAGCGGATATAATCTTGTGGGCATGAAAAAAAGTAAGTGACAAATTCCTGACAAATGATTGAGCAAATAGACACACATGAATCATTCCCAAGCACAAGGACCTTAACGATAGTCAAGGTGAGGGAAAGGAGACTCTTCATCATCTTCTACACTGACCGTAAATCTTCTCACTTGGGTATTTTGTTTTCAGGGTCTTTGGGAATCTACTCCAAATGTATTTTTGGGGTATAAACTGTAGCTAGCTAGCTCAGTGCATGTCACAATAATTGGAAATAAAAGCTGAAATTGTAATACCTTGTTCCATATTCAACTTTTTGTCTGTCTTCAATGAACCAAACATTTATTTAGTTTATGGTATGCGGTAGGAGAACCTGGAGAAAACTCCACACAGTAAGGCCAGGTTTGAAACGCAAACGCCAAACCTACTCACTATGAGGCAGACATTCTAACCCAGGGGTGTCAAACTCATTTTTGTCACGGGCCACTTTGGAGTTAGTTTTGAAATTGCTCAAGTTAACTATTTGTTTGTTAAATTAGGTTTAAAGGTCCACCCCCCCCCCCCCAACAATGGTCTTTTTTGATGAAGTTTCTCTTCACCTCTTATCTGGCTGACAGTTTCAGCTGTCACTTCAACCTTCATCGGAGCTGTCACTGCTTCCTTGTGACCTGTCTTAAGAACAGCTATTGTTTTTTTTTTTTGTTTTAAACAGGGTAACAAAATTATTGCAAAACCTCAACGTCATTTATTACGCATGACAATTTGACATTTCAGTCCAGATCTTAGCAAGGATCATGCAAGTTGACAGGCATGATTTTCTTTCACGGGTCACATAAAATGGTGTGGTGGGCCGGATCTGGCCCCCGGGCCTTGCCTTTGACACCTGTGTTCTAACCGCTCTCACATCGTACTACCCCCAAAAATTATGAATACAGTAACAACAATAATATCTTGTTAACTTGCGGTCAAGAAAAAAAAATCCTTGCCTGTCTCAATGTAACGTGACTTTGTGAATAACACAGCTCTTAAATTCCGGTCGACTATTAAGAAATGACATCACAACAAGAGATTTATCAACGATGTAGCGCAACCGTTAAAATGATTCAAGTTACAGCAGAAACCGGGTGAGCAACTGTAAAATCGCGTGCACGTGATCGCGCTTTCTTGGCGGCGCAGACAGCAAGACTTCAACTCTGTTGTGAAAGGATCTTTTGTGACTCATTCGATATCGAACCGAGGCTGCGGGAAGCACTCTCCCATTCTCCTCGCAACACCTCCTCGCAGCATGTGCAGAGCAAGTTTGGCGTGCGGTGGGTGAGCCACAGAATGACATCAAGCGGACACCTCGGCGGGACAAAGGATTTTCGGAGTCGACTTAAGTGAGTGGGAGGTGTGTTCCAAGCGCATGGGTGTTGGGGCTGCTCCACTCGTCTTCCCTACTGCGTTCCCGAACATGTCTTGGTCATGGGTCGTCTACACCGGCATGGAAGTGCTCATCGCCGTTTCGTCGGTGATCGGCAACGTGATGGTGGTGTGGGCCGTGCGCATCAACCGCTCGCTACGGGACACCACGTTTTGTTTCATCGTCTCGCTGGCTTTGGCTGACATTGCGGTCGGGGCTCTCGTCATCCCCCTCGCCATCACCATCAGCATCGGACTCGAGACTCACTTCTACAGCTGTCTGGCGGTCGCTTGCACCGTGCTCGTCCTCACGCAAAGTTCCATTCTGGCCCTTTTGGCCATCGCCATCGACCGCTATCTGAGGGTCAAAATACCCATGAGGTAGGTTGGATGCTTTATGAGTACATCTTAACAGAGCGGTAAGACGTCTTTTGTGTCCGAAGCCCCATTTCACCAGGTGATTGCATTTCCATCTCATCGCAGAGTAAAAGAACAAGGGAGGTTAATTGCAATTAATTGCCAAGGGTTGTCAGTCATCTCAGCGCCGTTTGAGCGTTGAACCCGAATGTAAAACCACACTGCAATACCTCAAGCAACTTTTAGAAATGTTAATTAAATTGGAAAAAAAAGCACAACGTGTGAACTAAAAAAAAGGAGTGCAAAAGAAACATAAATATTTACCAGGCGTCTGTTGGTGGGTGGAGGCCTGTACAGTACATACCTCAAACATTTTCATCTCAACATGAATTAATATTTTTATGTCACCGAGAGAGTGTACGCTGCAAAAGTTGATCTTAAAATCAAGGGGGAAAGGCAATGAAATAAGGAATATGGCAGTTAAAGTAAAAGGATCTGCCCTTAGAACAGGTACATTCCTGGCAAGATTTCTGACAAGTATAATCAGCCTCAATACTGCCCCCACCGATGTCTTACAGGGGAATTTTGATATATTGGTTACATTCCACATGAATAAATCCCTTATCTTAAATCTACAAAGCATTTAAACAAAGAAATATATTTTCAACATTGCATCTGCTTGCTAATGGGGGCTTCCATATTTTGGTGCTTCACTTTCGCAACAGGGTGAATTTGTGAGAATGTGACGTGTGTTTGCATGAAGAAGCATATTTTCCAACATGGAATGCAAAGCATTTTCAAATTCATGCAATTGTGAAAATGTGAATTTCAATATTATGTGCGACGTGATCGGCTGACAGTTAAAGTCAACTGGGAAAAGATCTAGGCAAAAAACAAAACAAAACAAAAAAAAAATCTAATCCACTTCAAGTTTTCCATGTTACAAAAGGCCTGCCCGGAATATCCTGACAAAGAATGCATGATTGGTCAATAGGCTCATGTTGGCTGCTTGGTGGGCTTGCATAATTTCTCAAACTGGCAATCGGCGCACACAAAAACACCAGTGGACGTCATTCCCACGACTTCAATGCAGTCTGGATTTGAAACGTAGTCTTATCTGAAATTTCCCGATTGTTAGGGTTATTGCCGCAAGGTTTGTTTGCCTTTTTCGCGCAGCATTTACAGCGGATGGAAAAAAAAATCTACACACGCCTGTTCCTGTGTCAAGTTTTGTGACAGAATAAAAGCTAAAGAAAGCATCACAAATCTTTTTTTCCACCATTAATGTGACCTATAACCCTTATAACTCAACTGAAAAATATTTCAGAAATGGCAAATTGAAATAAATCACAGAGGTAATATTGTTGCACAAGTGCGCTGTAATCTATAGCTGCAGATGTGGCTGTGTTCACACTTAACCTGATCAAACGCAGACTCATGTTAGATGGCAGTCAGCACACACCTGTCACTATTTAAAGTGCTTCTGAGAAACCTCGACGACCAAGAACTGCAGTTCCCTCCAAAATGCACAAAAAGAGGCCAAGAAGATTGGTCAGGGGGGTACACATGCGGGCAGTAGGGCACTCACACCTAGGGACAATTTAGAGTGTTCAATCAGCCGCCCATGCGTGTTTTCGGAATGTGGGAGGAAACCGGAGTACCCGGAGAAAACCCACGCAGGCACGGAGAGAACGTGCAAGCTCCACACAGGAAGGCCGAAGCCGGGATCGAACCCACAACCTCTACACTGTGAGGTCAACGTGCTAACCAGTCGCCCTCCTTATTTGCAGTTAATAATAAAATAATAATTTTGGGACAAATAAAGTTACAATGGTTGAGAAATGCAATCGCAAGGTCGACCATTTTGTCGCTTCGTAATAGTACATTGCAAGTTGGAAACACTTTGTCTTTCTCTCCCGTAACCACAGCTACAAACGAGTGGTGACCCCTCGGCGAGCCGGCTCGGCTGTGTTGCTGTGTTGGCTAGTGTCCATCTTAGTGGGCCTCACACCTATGTTCGGATGGAATAACTTACGACATCTCCGTGACAATGGCTCCCTTGTCAGTGATGACCTCGTGGTGAAGTGTCAGTTTGAGACGGTCATCTGCATGGATTACATGGTCTATTTCAACTTCTTCGGCTGGGTGCTGCCGCCTCTCCTCCTCATGCTCCTCATCTACGTGGAGATTTTCTACATGATTCATAAACAGCTCAATAAGAAGGTGAGACCGTCTAGTGCACTGAAATCTCCCACAATGCAATACTACAGCCAAGAGTACCCGTAATTCGTGGCCCACTTAAACCTAAAATGGGAGGAGATAAGAAGTAGCCCATTTGTGAAGCGAGGCACAAAAAGTCATGTTTATGAGCACGTTTGACAAATCTACAGCCAAGAGTACCCGTAATTCGTGGCCCACTTTAACCTAAAATGGGAGGAGAGAGAGAAGTAGCCCATTTGCGAAGCGAGGCACAAAAGTCATGTTTATAAGCACGTGTGACAAATGACCTCGCCTCTTCTTTTTGTTGTGTAATTGTGAATTGTTGGTCAAAACGCGATCCACATTTCTTTTCGTTTCAGGGCTACATTCAGAAAAACGGAAGGACGCAAGGGCAACTTTAAATGTATCTGTCTAAAATCAATCGAGCAAGCAATTATATCTGGTTTATTTTCAAGTGAATTTGATAAACTGCCGCATAACAGCTTTTTGTTGACGTTCATAAGGTAACTAGTGAAGGATTTCTCAAGATTTCGGTGTGGATAAAAGGCACAGTCTCTTGAGGATCGATCATGTGACAAGTTCAAATGTCAGACCTTGACACAAAGCATCAAGTGGAAGAAACTATTTTGCTTCTAAAGTTGAATGGTCTAAGTTCACCAAAATGTTTTGAAGAGAAATTGGTATTTGAGTCCTAATAATACAAATAATAATTTAATTATATCTTCGCATTTCTCGATAAGCTCAACAGTATGACAACCAATTTATTAGTCGTAGTGGCACTTATTTTTCAACACATTCCCTTCACACTCTTACCACCTCCAAACTTTTTTTTTTTTTAAACTAGCCTTGGTTGTATCAAATTTCCTTTTTAGTATACGCCGCGGGCCGTTGAGAAAGAAATGGTGGCCCACAAATGACCCCCAGGACATAGATTGGACCCCTACAGTGTATATAGAGTCCATATATGCTAATATTTTGCTTCTTTGTCTCTGTGCAGGTAACAGTGAGCCACGCAGACCCGAGTCGTTACTTCGGCAAGGAGCTCAAGCTTGCCAAGTCCTTGGCTCTTGTCCTTTTACTCTTCGCTGTGAGCTGGCTTCCCCTTCACATCCACAACTGCATCACACTTTTTTGCCCCAAGTGTGACAAACCACCGAGCCTCATTTTCATCGCCATCCTCCTAACCCACGCCAACTCGGCTGTCAATCCCATCGTGTACGCTTTCCGCATTAAGAAATTCCGCTCGGCCTTCTGGAAAATTTGGAATCGGTACGTCCTTTGTCGAGCACCAATTGGTCAGCTGCCTCAAAAAGGGAGTCAGAGAATACAGAACGCCACGAGGAGGCTGAGGCACAATGATGACGACGACGATGATGATGACGATGTGTGAAACTGAGCCGGTGCACTGTAACATCCGGGATTTTGGATTTTTTTTTTCTCTCTCCAAAATTCAAGGGATTACATTTTGGCCCTTATTTAAAGGATTTCTGATGGATTAAAACTACAGAGGATCTATTCCATCCACAGTGCTACATATGGGGATAAACCTAGAAATCTGACTGACTCAGACAGGAATGTTTTTGTTTATGTCTCAACAAGCACCACAATTTGGTGATGTCACACGGGATAAGGGGCTTACCGTCAATGTGAATGACTCTGTACAAAAAAATAATAATAGTACATTATTTTACACACTTCCTAGTTCCCAAGATGTGTTTTTTTTTCCCAACAGTTAAACGGTTGAGCCACAATTATGTGAACAGCAGGAATGTGCCACTGGCTGGACAGACATGTCACAAAATTGTGACTTCTAAGCAGATGCTTTGAGAAGGACAATAATGAAGGAAAGCTGCAAACGTGGATGCTAAATGGTGCACTTGGAGTTTGGCAAACTGTGGCCGGGTTGGAACGACGCAGTTGCCCGTCAGTCACATGCAGGATGTTACATGCTTTTACAGGTGTGGAGGTTATACGGGAGCACATGGGGTATTGATTTGTTTATCTGTGACTTCAAATGCCATCTTTATCGTCCAAGCCTAAAACTTCAATGAATCTCCTCGATACACTACAACTATTGCTGTGAGAAATACCAAGCTACCGTCTCCTCAAGAAGAGCTTCGATTTTAGGACTTTTAGTCTGCGCTCATCTTGTGTGACGGAGCAGATTGGACTCATCTCAACCAATGTGAAGTTGTGAGAGTATATGCGTGATGGAAGTACACGAAGCTGGGCTCAAACTGATTCAGATACTGGCTTCATTTTGTTTTTCTGGCTGGAAATGAGACAAGGAATTAGCGAAAGACTGTCAGGTGTTAGATAAGATATATTTTCATTGTCGCATTTTGAAGGTGATTCACATCTTAATAATATCTTTTGGACGATGACGATAGATCCTGATTACTGCATGATCTACAGATTTATCATCAGCTATGCATTGAGAACTTTGGATTCCTTTCTTGAGAATGAATGGAAAACATGTTGTACTATACTCTTAAGAAAAATAGTAATAACGCATTCCAACTGTGTGCCACATCTGTCGTCGAAAAGATACCAGTTCACTGTCAGTGTGGCACTGTGTATGCAGTAAAATCACAAGTTCAACTCAAAATTTGGCCAGAATACGAATCAGTTGTGGTGTAACTGTGTATTATTCTATTGGAATGTTATTTATTTGTGGAAAGAGTGGTACATCATAATACAACTATACCAGCCAATAACGGATTTGTACAAATAACCCCTCCACCATAGTTACACTTCAGCCTTATCATGCAGTAGTTGCAGCTGACTCAATAAACACCCTTGGACACCGTATAAGCCAATGCATTTTTGTTTTCCGAATGATGACTGTATACCTCTCAAGACAAATTCAAAGTGCTCTCTCTGCAGTTTTTGATCATTCGGTGCAGCAAAGCGTACATACAGTACTGTCAGTGGCGGACGCTGGTCTGTCAAGGAGGGGAAGCTCAATTTCGGCCGACATCATTAAATATGTCCATTTATTTAAATGTGAATTCTGTTCTCCGTCCCTTTGCAAGAAAATGATCTGTGACCCTGTCATACCAATAAGGTGTCTTTTCCAGGGACTTAACTAGTGTCCTCTCTATGGCCAGCAGAGCTAGGCTGCTTAAACGGCCTTGACCCATGGTGTTGCGGGTGTAAGACTTGAGCTGCTTTAAACAGGAGAAGCTCCTCTCTACATTTGCAGATGTAGCTCCAATCGTTGCCACTAATGATAGCAGTTTGTAGACCTGAGGCATTGCATTGTTTAACTCCATATCTTTCAGAAACGACAAGAAATCACACAGCTTTCCCTTGTTGCCTTGCAAGTCCTGGTTTGAGTATAGGACTTGAAGTTCAGACCTCAGTCTTCCTGAATCAAAGAACTGGCCAAAACCTTTAAGGACATTCTGAAATGCCTCCTCTGGAAACACTTGTCTCATCTCATCAAACTTCCCTGGATTGACTAATTCCAAGAAGCGCAGACGTTCCAAATCTGCAAAGCGCTGAGGTATCTGCTCTGTGAGATTGTGTAGGATGGTCATGTACAGATTCCTGTAGCGCTCCTTGGGATCCTGTGGTTGTGACTGAAGGCGTTTTCTCATGGGCTGAGTTTGTGGGTCCAATGTGAGATCTGCCGCTTTGGCATAAACAGCTTGGAAAAGCCCCTCTGACCTCTTCTCTTTTGCAAAAGCAAGAAGAGACTCAATTATTTTCTTGCAGTAGAGAACATCCATAGCTCTCTGCTGGACAATGTCAAATACCACATCAGTCTCAGAGAAGATTTGTTCATATGTGTACGACATGAACACAAACTCAAAATCCTCCAGTTTCATCAGAAATCCTTTGGCACAGTCTAATGTGTCATCATCCATGGACCTATCTGCAATGATCATCTCAAAGGTTTGCAGGAGGGCATCATAATTGTTTGCCACAGTGCTCACTATCTGTGATGTGAAATTCCATCGAGTAGGAGCATTTCTGGGCAACCTTGAGCAGCCTGCAGACTCAAGAAAAGACATCCTTTTGGTGGACTTTGAGAAAAATGAGGCAAACCCCGAGAGTGATGCAAAAAATATTCTGCATTCAGATAAGCTTTTTAGCCCCCTGAGACAGAACCAAAATTCAGTCTGTGCTCATAGCAATGCACAAACAATGCACTGGGGGCAATTGTTTTAACTTTGGCCTGCAAACCATTAAGAGCTGAAGCCATGACAGCAGCCCCATCGTAGGTTTGCGCCACAAGTTTCTCCCTGAAATTGTATTTCTGCATGTTCTCATTCAAGATTTCAAAAACAGACTGAGCATCTCTTCCCCCAGGAACATTAAAGAATCCAATAACGCGCTCCTGAATTTTACCAGCCCTATCCACATAGCGAACAATGACCGAGAGTTGATCATGGCAAGCTATATCAGTTGTTTCATCCACCTGCCATGCAAAAAAGGGAGCAGCCTGAATTTAATCCTTTATCTCATCAGAAACAGTGGCTGAAAGAGCATAGATCAAGTCATTTTGAATTGCATGGGACATGCCAGAAAACACAGTTGATGACCGGAATTGTGTGGCCAGGACAGAGTCATATTAAGCTAATATTTCTGTAAACTCCCTGTAATTCCCCTTGTTGGATGATTCATCACTCTCATCATGCCTCCTAAAAGACAGCTCCTGATGGCCAAGCAAGGAAGTCACATCAATAAGGCGGTTTAGGAAAGCTCTGTTCTGTTTGACAGTTTCATTATGTTTTGCCAATTGAATGCGAGCACCTTCATTAATTACATGCTCAACCCTTACTCTACCTTACTCTCCCTTAATTTAATGCAGTGAGTCTCAAAAGTGGGGTGAGTGTATTGTCGTACGGTATTTACAATCTTCTGGTTTGAGAAAATTTGTGTGAAATTGAACTTGTTCTTTTCCGAGGCGACAAAGCTATTTTTTGCCATGTAACTTGTAAAGTTTTTTTTCCCATCGATCCAGATGGTTGCTTGCCTAATGTGCCAGACACCCCTGATGTGTTTCAAATTGTTTGTGCAAATGCCAGAACACATTTTCTTCACTTTGTGCTGCCCCCTGGTGACTGTATGTCATATAATTCAAAAGCAATGATTCTCAAAACTTTTTTCACCAAGCGACTCCCGTATTGTACTTCAAATGACATACAATTTAACTCTCATTTGGAGAAAAAAAAAAAAAGAAATTTACTGTACTGGAATTTAAAAGAACTTTTAAACAGGCTGTATGCACAACTAGAAGGTTTATTAATGTTTTAATGTTGCTCTTTTAATTCAGTGATTCTTTGAGTGAGCTCACTTGCCAGTAGTGGTACATGTACAGTACAACACCTTAGAATGACTGTTCTAAAGTAAAATAGCCATTGCCAATCTATTTCAGACACACTTTCTGGGGACATGCACGCTGAAGTTTCATGTTTCTTCTTTGTGGTTTTAAAATCAACAGCACAATATATTAATAATAATACAGCACACAACACACAATGAACGATAGCTCTAGGCTATATTTATTTTGCAATGCAATGTAGACATTTGTTTGGGTAACAAATGGCTACAGAGCGGAACAATATGCATGCAAATACAGTACTTTTAAGAAATGTGTCGACCGGTGTTTTTCAAAGTGTCATGCGCAACTACCAAGGTGTGCCAGAGTGCTTCGGGGAAGGGCAGAGGAAAATAATAGAGATGAAACTAGTTTCAAGCTCGTCATAACAAATGCTAATTACTGATCTTTGTGTGCAGTGATGGACCGAAAATATTGTTCACTTGAAATTCCACCGGTCATTTGCAATCAATGTCAAATTGTTTCCAAAATTTAGACTTAAGACTATTTAAGTGTGGGTGTTGTGTGCAATATCGTGCATATGTACACTTATACCTGACGGTATCTGAATCATGTGTGAGTGACTTCAAATATTTCCAAGGATGTTACTGTACCTATGATGTGTTTTGTTTACGAGAGTAAAAGATCATTTTTCTACCTTATGAACAACAGGTAAGAGCATCATATAAAAAAATCGTATTGTATCTATGACACATATTATGCAGCATAGTGTGACCATAATTTTTGGCTTTACAAAACACCAATTTACAAATTGTGATTATTTATATTCACAGCTTAAGTGTATTTTACGGTCACTCAACCTCATTTAACACAGTTAGGAAGAGGGGATATGAGGTTTTGTAGCAAAGTGCATGATCAACAAAATCTGAATACGGAGCTCATTTTAAAGAAACATGAAAGCAAACACAGTGCTTTTAAAATTTAAAACTAATGACATGCTGGAAGTTAACAATCGACTTAACTGTAAACAGAGGGTATGTAAGGCGGCGTGATGTCAAATTTCACACCATTCGTGTCTGACACTTGGATTTCTTAATCGTCATCATCTAATAAGAACTATTTGGGATTCCTCTTCTTATTGATAATGTGGCTCCAGAAGTGTTGTTGTGGTGCAGCATAGTTTTTCAGGCAGGCTTTGCCCTCCGTGAAACATGATTCAATTGTCTGCTATCGTTCTCAAATTTTCCTGCAAGAAATAAAGCAAGAAACACTCAAACATGACTCCGACCCCAGACAGAACATGCATAAACTGACAGTTAACATAGAAGACTTCCGCCGCATACAAGAGCAGATATAATGTGAGGCAACATGTCTTTCTTTTAGAGATCTAGGTTGTACTGATAACTTTAAATTGGCAAAAGTTGGTACTAACAAGTATGAGTGGCCAGTTTGGGTTGCAGTTGAGCCCAATTTCACAATTATTTCTTAAGACTCTATCGTCTGTTATTGACTGAAAAGGGATAAAGCAATTAAATAATTTCTTTACTCCAATCTGGTAGTATCTTGGAGTTGAGTCCTTTCCCAATGCTTTTACTTCAGAGATGAAAGTGGACATTCCTGAAAATGCCTGAAAATACAAATGCGATTAACATATATGAGCAAGAGAGAGAGAGACAGACAGAGAGAGAGAGAGAGAGAGAGAGAGAGAGAGAGAGAGAGAGAACGAGGGGGGGAGGGAGAGAGAGAGAGAGAGAGAGAGAGAGAGAGAGAGAGAGAGAATATGATTTTAACTGACTTATCATGTTTGTCTACCATTCTAATGTAGTCGGACAAAAAAAAATCTCTCTTCAAGTCCTTTTCCTCAAGCTATGACCACTTGAACGTGTTCCTAACACTCGTGTCTATTGCACGTATGCCAGCTTGCCTGTCTACCTGTTTGAACATTGCGCTGGGGCCGTACCTGGCCGATCACGCATGAATTAGTTTACACAAAATGCAATTCAAATACTCGAAATTCAATGATTTATCTGTCTATTGTGTGCACACGTGCACCCTTTGTGGCTTCCGTTCTTGCTGAAATTTCAAAATCTCCGAGATATGGCAAGGCATTGAGAATGCGATGGGAGGGGTGTTACTGTTACTAGTGTTCGTGCCTCAACACGGCTACACTTGTGAAAGCAAAACAACGAACTCAAACGCGTATTCGTTCAATGTTGTCAACTAATATCCGGATTAATTAATTAGGTAATTTTTCCTCAATTTTCCTGAGGAATTTTAATGAAAATTGGAAAATCCGGAATTCTGGAAAAATCCGGAGGACTTTCATCACTGCTACTTGCAGTCTACTTTCCCCATTTAACAATATGCCCGTACTTCCTTATGATTAGGTGTGAATGCCAACAGGTGATTTTAACCACTTAATAGCGTTTGCGTGAAGTTCTAGAGCCCATGTCACATGTCATGTCAGTTTGAGCTAGCATGTTATTCAGGCAGGTATGCTAGCTAATACCATTGATGAGCC